AATACCTGGCGATGCCTCCGCCCGGCTGCTGTCAGGATGCAAGAAACGACAGCCTTCCTCTAGCCTGCCGCGGCTTTCGCACCCGCTGCTGCCCCGCGCTTTGTTCTGCCGGCCGGCAAAACCCTGGGGAGCAGCGCGCTCTGCAAGCGAAGCCGCCCCGGCCGTGCCCTCAAGGAGTTGAGGCGGCAAACGACGCCCCGGGAAGGCAGGAGCGAAGTGAGGTGCGATTAGCACCGCCTTAAAAGCCCAATGATGGGAATAAACCTTACTGAAGAAAAAAATGGTGGGTTTTTTCTATTTATAATACGGATACACTTTTTATTTCAATAGAGCCATTATAATACAGGTATGTGGGAGGTTAAAAGCTACAGCTGAGGGGTCTGAAGATAATGATGCAGCTCTGTTTGCCGCACACTCGGGTAGCAGAAATAGGAGCTAAGTTTTCTGGGAAGGGGGGTACGACAGGTGGGTGGAAGAGCAAAGACTGGAAATGCCGAGAAACCAGCAATAAGAAAAAAAACCCCGTGCCAAACCTACTAGCTTTCACAGGTCTCAGTTACTACTAACTGAGGCTGAACTTTATTTCCCGTGCAGGCATCTGTTACGCTCACAACCTGGGGGGTCTCCCACAAATCTCAACGTATTCCAACTGTGTGCCACCACAGCAGACAGGCTTTGTTGTTTTGGTGGCATCCGACTGGCTTCAGGGAGCAAGCGGGGGTAAAGCTTATTTTGAGAGGTCGCACTGCCGACACCGCTATTGCTAGTTCCCAGTGTGGTCGGTCAGGTGTCTTTCAGGATCAGCTGAAGAACAGTAAGTCACCTGCACCTTTTGCATGCCCCCCTGCTCAGTTTTCAAGCTGAAACAGCTGCTTAAGTGACCCTCCTGGCTGAGGTCTTAAAAAAGGGATTTAAGGTAAAGTAAATGCTGTAGGGAGACCCTTTATATAGACTGCCCTTATATAGGAGAATAGGGAAGGAAAGGCAAAGGCACACTTACAGGACTGATAGGATTTTACTTGCTTGTTTAATAACAGCTCAGTGTCTTTCCATATAAATGCTTCTGTATCCAAGGAAATGATTACCTGGCTCGATATCGCGCTTGCTTCTCTCAGTGCTTGCTGGTTCGCTGTTTGGGAAGATGCAATTTGCCCTTGAAGTTGAGGACTGGGGACAAGCTGCTGCTGAGAAATGGCCCCTGACCTCAGCTGTAGCTGCTGTGGCTCCGGCTGCTGAGTATTGCTAAAGCTCAGGGACACCGTCGGCTGCTGTAGGAACATCTGGAAAAGAAGGAGGGGAGGGTTTATTTACATAGCCCAGCTGTCTTGGGTAATGAAGGTGACAAATCCAAAGATATATTCTAAAATAAAGTTAATCACATTTCTGGATTTGCTATGCATTTACTGTTAGTTGGAAATCACCTATCTTTTCTACATTAACAGTTCTGCGTTATCAAGAATCTCTAGTTTCTTGATTTCTTGTTCTGCGAGTGCACTCATTGCTCGCGAAATGTGTCCTGAAGGTACAAATCCTGTTTCCGTGGGGCAGGCACAGCCCTCGTAAAAGCAGTTCCGTGTTCTGGGGCATCCTGACCAGAGAGGAGAGAGTAGCTCCATGTCTTTTCAGTCCTTTCATTTCTCCTTTCAACAAAATCAGCCTGCCTTTCAGACAGGGCTGCTTTTGAATTTGTCTCTGGAAATTCAGCGCCTTACATACAGTTGGGTTGTCAAATGTTTTTAATGAGGCCACAGTCAGGCCAGAGCTGTCCGTGTTGAATGGCCGTGTCCTTATCATTGGGAAGATGTGTAAACAGACAGCCACCGTCATTTATCTGATTTCCCATCAGGTAACTGTCAGCCAGTGTTCTTCCTAACCGTGCCGTACATTTGGCTTGTGCAAAAAAGCTAGCAGCTCCTCTGTTAGTGTTTCTGTAAACGATATACTCTCCATGCCTGCATTGCAAGATGAGGCTTTCTTCTTTAAAAGTTGCAGGGCTTGGGCATTTTTGCTTTTCTAGGGGCTATTTCTTTTATTATAGCTGTACAGAGGAAAAAGGCATCTTTTACAACTATGAATTATTAATGCTACAAGCTATCTTTGCAATATTTCAAACCTAGCCTCTCGACACTGAGGACTGTACAGAGGTACGCATCCCAGGTAGTTGAAGGCATTTTTGGATCTGATTCTGATTCCACACCACTGCTACACATGTGGAACTCCATTAATTGAAGCGGCGCTACTTAGGGTTTAAATGAAATCAGAATCACAATTATTCTCTTCATTATTCATCCATCAGTCTCATGCCTAGCAATACATCTGAGGTACGCCCAGTAATTAGTACACCTTTCTGCAGCTTATTGCTATATTAACAATTCCCTCAACTGTCATGTCCCCTCTAATTTTTCTTGGAAAAAACCTGTACCTTTCTCCAAAGGACTGGCACAATGCATTGCTTTTCTTTGCATAAGTATGGGTTGATCCATCATATTTGTACTCATTTATCTAGCTTTTAAAACATAGTTTTTATTTAAATATGATAAATTTTTAATGAATTCCTGCGTGCCAAGATTTTACTCAGAAAAAAGGTACAGACAAAGCTTACATTCATCAGCTGAGAGACGAGGGCAATTAATGAAAATGTTAATGGACCTAAAGCAACGACTTGTTTCAGGTGCTGTAGGCTAACCACATCTCCAAGACGTCTGATAGAAATAAATGGGTCAAGTAACAGAGTTGGGGCTGCTCACAGCAGGTCTGAAACTAGCTCTGAGTGTTTTCTTTTAAAAACACTGCTCACTGAGTTTGGAGCCGTTACATATCAGAAAGACAGATGGTCTTGCAACTTCTGCCAAGTAAATAGGTCTTATTATGAATAAATCAAAGACAGAAATTATGAAAATTCGTTTTCTTGTTTATTTTCTGTAAATAGAAGCTAAGCTTTGGACATGTTTGGTAAATGAACTCACTTGATCAGCTCTAGCAATTAAACTGGTCGCCATTGATATCAAATTTGATATATAACATTTGGTATAAAATTCAGAACAGGTAAAGCAAGTGGTGTGTTTCAAAAATGTGATGGGGAGCGTGAGCCCACTGGTACTGGCCAGACCACTGCAAATTAAGACCTTTAGGAGGATTATCTTAAGTGTCCTCCCTGTACGTGGCGCACAGGGCTGGAGAAATACCTGCAAAGTCAACATCTATCGATGCAAATGTCAGGCAGGGCGTGGACTTGCAGCAAATGACTTACTCTGCCTGTGTGCACGCCTTACTTCCAGATGAAGGCCAAGGAGCTTATCCTTGAAAGAAAGTAGAGTAACCTACTTTGCAATTACCAGAGTGTGCCACTGGGTAGGAATGTGCATGGTTAATGGTTGGCAGCTAAGATGCTATAAATTTACAGCCAAGTTTTATCCCAGTAAACCAATTTTCCAGCTCAGGGCAGGAAGCGATGGTGCCATTTAACCCGTGTCCCCGCAGAACTGGAAGACTCAAGATGCCTCTTCAAAACAAGAGTTAACCTGAGAGAGGATTGAAGCGTGAATTTCTACCTGCTAGTTAAGCCTAAAAGCAAGAACATGCTTCATTCGTACAAAACTTACCAGTGTTTTTTCATAACGTGCCTCTTTTGTGATAGTCCTGTCTGAATTCCCCTGAAACACTGAAATACGGCAGCTTTAAATAACAACAGAAACCCCCTAATAAAGAATGAAATCTTTCCCAGTCTGAGCAAATCCGAGTAGATAAATTAGCAGCCCCCTAACTGCACTGCTGCTAATGACGTGTCTCGTGGCTGATTCTGCGGACTGCAAGGTCAGTGAAGCATCTTACAAATATTTTTTAATTGGCCAGCTTGTTAACATACGCAGCAAAGCAGCGAGGGAGGGGAGGGACCCTGTGACACTGCTGCCCCCTCATTCCGAGATAGATGGTCCCTACAGCTAATGGATGAATCACGTTGGCAAGACATCGTGAGGAAAACGGCTCTTTTGACTCTACCTGTCCTTCGGATAATCAGGGGATTATAGCCTTCGGGCTCATCATTACAGACATCAAGACTCTTTCTTTATGTAAAATACGGAAAGATGAGAAGCACAGCACTGGGAAGCTGAGAGTCACTGGCTTCGAAGGGAGCCTGGTTTGCAAATGATGGGTGGCTGTGGACGGTCTCGTTTGTAGCCCTTCTGCCTTCCTCCCCATCCGCAATTCATTAGCTAGACTGTTCAAATCTGGAGCAGACACAGCATCCTTCAGACTTCTGAGGTTACGCTTGCTGCTCCTGTCCTTCATACTTTCGTTTGTCAGGAAAAGCCGTAGCAAGGATTTAATGGAGTTTTGAACACTTTTGTTCAGGGCCCACGACCCTCCTGCTAGTTTCATCTTTCATCGCACAGGGCTCTTGGAAATAGTTTCTAACACAGATTACCGTGCTCAACATCTGTCTGCTTGGGAAAGCATTTCTTGGTGGACTGCCGTACTGCAGTTTTGAAGATCTCTGAAGGAAATGGAAATGGGGCTTAATTCTCCGCAGAGCTACCTGTACACTTCTGTGTGGAAGGGAGTGAACCAGTGGGGAAGATATGCTAATAAATCAGCTAACGAGGGAAAGCCGGAGAACACTTCCCCCTTTTCAGACAGCCTAAGGCACTCCCCCATGCTTACAGCTCTTCTACGCGGAATATTAAAGAGACCAGAAATGTGCTTGATAGTAATGCTCGCCTGTTTGCTACTATGCTTTGTAGCTCTGATAATAGACACAGATCAATGTCCGCAGACATCCAGCTCTCTGAACGATGAAATCTGTGCGGCAAAGCACGTGGTTGGATTTCTGATTTAACAGTGTACTCCTCGCTGCTTGCGAGTCACAGAAGTGCTGCATGCAGAAGTGTGAGGCTTTCTTTCAAGTTGCCCCTAGCCAAATAAGACAAAGCTAATTCCTGGTCTCGCTCTATCCCTGTAACAGCACAGTAATTACTTTGGTTTTTTCTAACCTAGAGAAAGTGGGAGTAGGAAGAGGCCCTGGCCATGAGTCATTGTGACCGCTCACGTCTCATCGCCTTGTTAGATTGCCCTGAGGAGACTGAAAGGCACCCGAACTACAGAGGATGACCCTCCCCGTCCAGCATTGCCCCTTCAGGCAGATACGCAGCCCCTGCATTTCCGAGCTGCCCTCCAGTCCCCCTGCCTCTCACTTCTGCATCTGCAGTAAGCTGGGAAATGGTCAGCACTAAGATCAGAGAACTCGTACTGGTCTGAAAGTATATTCCTCTGAAAATATATTCCAACCCGGTACAGTCTTTGTCGGGGAGAGGATCACCCGAACGGTATAACTCAGAGCTACAAATTGGCATGGGGTGAGCAGTACAGGACTACCCACCATTTACGCACTGGGCCTCCTCTTCTCTCTGCTTGAGCTCCCTATGAGCTTATCTGAGAATCTGTCCCACAGTCTTTGGGTTATTAAATGCACCATAGCGCATATGGGAGACAGCTATGTAAAAATAAAATCCATTTCCTGCATATAAGAATGTGCTCTGATCTTCTATTTTTGCATGAATTATGCAAAAAAAAAAAAAAAAAAAAGGATGAGTGTATGTGACTATTGAAGACTTCACCAGGAGAGAGTAATGGTTTTCACCCAATTAAAAAGAGAGGAAGTGCGAATATCACGTCTCTTGATATTCATAATAACAATAATAGCTTTCAGACATATGACATGATTCTGAACTGAAGACCAGTTAATTGCAGAGAGACTTTCCCTTCCCATTAATCAAAGTCAGTGCAGAACCAATAGAAGAAATGCACTGAAGTTAAACCTGGTCTACCTATATGCTTATATGGCACCAGGAACAGAGCGCCCTGGTGTTGGGACCCACCACTGCTGTGCTGTCTTACAGCAGTGCACATGCAGCAACTTAGGAGGCAAAGTTTCTGATTTGGCTTCACTGATCCCTTAATTGCCTAAACATACAATCCCAATTTGTTTTAATATGTGAAACTGCATTTCACAGATGCTGATGATGGGTGAGAGTCTATTTCTGTGGAAGCTGGGAGCAAAATTCCCGCTGACTTCAGCAGGTCCCAGGTTTTCATCCTGTGCTTAGAATGTTCTTTGAGATATTAATTTCTGTGACATTAATTTTAGCTTGTCTTCTAAAAAAATCTTTTTAGTACAATACTCACAGTGGGTCCCCAGTGCAACATTTCTAGCAAGGGTCATTTAACCTGGCATTTAGAGTTAAATTTTGAGGAACAGAGCAGTAATCACCCCGCATCCAGAAAATTTCCATAAAACTGGATGATTTGTCCATTTGTTGTTAAGTGAGACCTGCGACGTACTGAACTGCACTTGCTATTATTTCTGGTGTTTGGCAGACAATAAGGCATAGTACAAAGCAGATACTGTACTTGGTGAATTAAAAGCAGATACTGTACTTAGTGAATTCTAGCTCTGTGTAGGAGGTATCAAAGGCAGAAGAAGAGCAGGCTCAGTCAGCTTCGCCCTAAAGGCTTATGCTGGTCCAGTGAAGAACAAATTCAGACACCTTCTGGGTGTGAACAAATGAACATCAGCAGAGGTTTGGGGTTTTTTAGCGTGACAAGGAAATTAATCTCTTGTGCTCTGTATCCAGGCTGGGGTAGGGTCAGGAAAACAGGGAGCGAATGAACGAGATGAGCACTGCCTGAAGGAGGGCTGTTGGCTAAGGACGAGCTGGACGGACAAGATACTGAGCACGAGTGATGCCAACATGAAGCAAGCAGTGACTGGATGGAAGCTAATGAACTGGAGAGACATAATAATTGCCAAGTTTGAACTTGAACACTTTTCTATTACAGCTGCTCAGTCTGAAGACTCAGTAGATGAAGTATTAAGATGCTACCGTAAATGACCCAAATTCTTCTCCTCCTAAGGTTGAGATATTTCTTTTCTTCCAGAGAGCTCTTAAATCTTTCTTGACATAGGTTACTCAAGAGGCTTTCAGAGGTCAACATCCTCATTCAGATGAGCTGGTTTCCACAAGTCCAGATTTCCCGGACTCTCGAGCCAATTTTAAGTTGCCAACCCTATCAATGGCCATGTGAGAGAGGATGCTCTGCTCTGCCCCTCCCAGCAGTAACGCACCTGTACACTGGAGTCCTGGACCAGGCAGAGCTGCTCCTGTATCTTCTGGAGCTCCTCCTGCTGCCACCGGATGTTGGCCTGCAGGATCCGGGTGCGCTGCTCTAGCTGGTCCTTGATGGTCTGGAACATGCTGAACTGTGCCGAGAACCGAAAGAAAAGGGGGGAAAATCAGTCATTATAATACAATCAGGCCTCAATAGAACATTGTTCTGTAAGAAGTTATTGGTTTCTTGATTGTAAAGCACAGCCAAAGGAATAAAAGACGTGTTTGTAATATACTGACATCTAGGCAGAGATAAATCTTGTCTATTTTCAATTTTATGCACATACATTAAATTTCCTCAGTTAGAGTGATCTGCTTACAACTGGCCCTGTTCTGTTAGGGAATTATCAGAAGGAGTGTTTTTGAGAGCATGCTACTTCAAAATATCAAGAGCATCTTAATTGGATGGCAAGTGAGTGCGTTATTTTTATTCGCCTGTAGTTTGGAGCCCTTAGTGTGGCATAACTGTATATTCTGGACGTGTTTTACTAACACTTTCCTTTTTCCGCACAGAAATAGCAGCGCTGCAATGGTTTATTCTGCTGATGACTTACTGTAGCGTCATGCAACAGCTGACCACAATAAACATTTTCTAGATTTCTACAGCTGGGTAGTAGTGAAGCTACAAGAAATACTCATTAATTTATTTTTATACGTGATGTAAAATGAACAGCTCAGCCCAGTGGGAGAAAGGCTATCCTAAATAATAATACAAAATGGAGATCACTAATCAGAGTGAAGAAGAAAATGCAACCTCCAGTAGCAGCAATACTTGGCACAAAGTGGAATCATTCAATAAGCACGGAGGGGACTAACACAGCAATAAATTCCTAGTTTTATTTGGTGTTTTCGGATATGATTCAAAGTCCACCAAAGTTAATTATTACTTTAATAGGCTTTGGAATAGTTGCTTTGCATGAGCTCATATTCCAAAAGTAAAAAGACAGACTTTGGGAAAAAAACCCACTTCGAAAAGTCTGTAAGCTTTTCTGTAATCAAGGCATCCAAGACTCTCTCTGAAAACATGCGGTGCTGTGAGTGTCCAGGCAAAAGAAAAATAATAATTTTGCTGTGACTTGGAAATGGTGCCTGTTCCTGTGGGTGTTCCAGTGGCTCTGTGCTAGTGGGTGAACCGATGCATGCCGCTGGAGCCTTCCTGCTCCCTGGAGGTGCACCTGCTTACACCATTTCTGGCTTTTTAATAGGAAAACAACAATGGTAACAAGAAGGGAATTAAGGAGAGCTCTGGTGCTAGCAGCACTGTGCAGTTAAGTGAAATTTCTGGCTACTTAGAGAAATCCAAATGTGACAGGTCAGATTTGTATCAGCTAACTGCTTTGCCTTAAACCAGCTAAATACATGAAATACCTTCACATTCCCTCCAGCAAAGCTGAAATCTCCAAGTAAATGGCCTGTAGGTGAGAAAGGACGAGAACTTCAGAGGGTTTATTTCTGTTTACCAGGTGGAGGGTGGCTTTCCCGCACAATCTGGGAGGTCACCGCTCAGAGTGGTGGCGAGGTGGAGGGGAGTTTCGTGGCCAGCCCTGCTTGGGGGGGAAGGAGGGCTGCTGAGGTGGCCCACGCAGTTGCTGCTGGCAGAGGCCCTCAGAGCCCGCTTTGGTGGCAGAGGCATCTGGGAGCGCTCGCCGCTTGCACCGCCTGCCCAAGGAGACGATGTGAGCACTCGGCCTCCGGCGCCGTGATCCACAGCGCTTTTGCCTTCAAACGGCAGCGCTGTCACCTGCAAGCCGGTCCTCCCCCAGAGCAGAAAAATGGCGTCAAAGCTCCCAACGGGAAGTCTGTGTTACTTCTAATTGGTGTTGAAGGGGAGAAGTCAGAGCGGAGAAGTCATCAGAGCCTAGTCCATGTATAAAGTATTAACCCCAGGAATGGACGAGTGGAAACCTCTGATGTTTGGGAACAAGGGCGAGTAACACAAAGGGGCGTCCGGTGCTGCTTGTTCTAGTCTGAATGCGGACCTGAAGAGTCCCAGGTACCCTGATTTTAGGAGTCGAATGACACTATGTAGCAACAGCTTGCTTAGATGAGATGCAGCTTATTTCTGCTTTGACCTGGGTCTATACAGAAGGATTTTTTAAAACGCCAAGTCTCGCAACCTAATTCTCTTTACGTGAACTCTGTTAGTGAGGACTACTCTTAAGTCTGTAAAAGGATCCTTATCAGAAAGGAATTAAAAACAATTTTAGCCAAAAGCTTCATTTTAACTGCCTGGCTGGCTGATGGCAGACTTTTCATTAACGTGCGAACTCCTTGAAGACACTTAGGGAAAGGAACCCGATTTTCTTCGATTTAAAAATGTAAGGAATTTTATAACAGATAATTTTATAGTCATTTTATACTTCAATAAGACACAAAATCCATTTCCAGGCCTTAGTTTTGAATTCGAATTTGCTTTGCAAAGTTGCACGCAAAAATACATTGCTGTTGATTTTAAATTATTATTCTTTAATTTTTTTCCAGCACCTTCTTACATTTAGCATATTCACCTAGTACTGTCTTTTTGTTCTCTTTTTCATGTGCTTTTTGTATTAATACACTTACCAACAACAACAATTAGCTGGTCTACTAGAGTAAGAGCCATTACGGAAGAAGACAAGGAACTTTCTCTTGCTTTTTTCCCTTTCCCACTCTAACCCCAGATTTGTTGATAACTCTAGCCATGACCCCTGTGATTACAGAGCTTCTATTGTTTTTGTACAATGAGACACTAACAGCAGTTGACCTGCACCAGAGAGTATTTATCTCAAGATCATTAACCGCTCTACTAATTAGGGGAGAAATCTGTAATTGTATAATAAATTAACAGAGCTTAACTCAAAATGTTTCACAGAAAACACTGCACAGCTTTAACTCTGCCATTTGCATCAGACAAAGTTGCTATCTGTCTCACTCGGGTATTTACAAACTTCCGTAGGAGCCTCAGAAAAGTGCATGTTATACACAGAAAAGTGCCAGCTTTCCACATACGGTCAAACGTGGAAGACTCAATCTGTGAGATATCTATAATTGCAGAGGATCACCAGTTTAATCAAGGTTTGTTAACGCAGACAAAAAAACCCACAGCAATAATTTTAGTCTGGTTTCTTAAAAAAAAAAAAAAAAGATGCTTTTGGGATTGTGTCAGCAGGCGTTTGGGTAGGGATAGGCACAATCCACTGGGCTCGATGCACCGCCGCTGACGGTCCAGACGGGCTGTACCGTCCGGACCGGCTGTACAGCCCAGGGAGAGGGATCGGCACTTCTGGGCTGTGACTCCTCTCTGCCGGCATGGACGTCTCAAACAGGCCAGCTGGACTGTGCCTGAGGAGGGGCGTTTTTCTCCACCGGGTGCCACCGCAGGGTGCCAGGGTTACTCCCTCTCTCTAGGTGCTGGGGGGCTGCAGCCGGGGGAGGGGACCTACGGCCCCTTGTGTCTGTTGGGATGGTCCCCCATTCCAGATGTGATGAACAAAAAGACGGACAACTCAAAGACATTCTGTTCTTACAGGTTTCATGACAATAGGTGGCTGGGTAAAGAAAAGAGAACCTATTTATTTTTTAGCTCCGTTTCCTTTGAACCTTTCTTTTCTGCCTACCTTTCAACTTTCAATGCTCCTGGTCAATGGTAGAGACATGCAACAGAGTTGTGAGAGCCTCAAAAATACCAAGTTGCTGTAATTTCATGATAGTTACAGCTGAGCAAAGGAGAGAGGGACCCGCTCGTTGCCCTCCCACGGGGAAGGCTGGGTCCATGTGCTAGCCTTGCAAGGCGCAGCCCCGGGAAACTGGGTTTCATTAGTTTTGCAGCTCACTGAACAACTTGTTCATTCTTTCTGTCTTCTGAATAACACCTGTGCAATCCCAAACGGATTATTAGTGCTAATTATTATTCAGACATCAACATCCGCTGTGTTGTAGGGGATTTTAATTTATTACAATGAGGAAGGCAAACAAACAAATATTCTAATAGGGAGCACTTGGTTTAAAGTAAACCATTTACATTCAGGTGACATCTAGTACTGTGCTGTCTGTTCATTCAGGCAAGCAAGGCAGAAGCTAAAACCGCAATTCGGCAGAGACAAAACCATCGCAGCCTTTGCTCGAAATAAAACTAATCAAAGTTCAAGCAGATGGCGCCTGAGGCGGGAGCTAACTGCTTGCTGCAGATGCGGTCGTGGCCATTTAAAATGTCCTCCCCCCCCAGCTACTGCCCCGTAGCTGAATGTTAGCTGCAAGGACACCCGTCAGAGTGCCGGGGCCCTGCGTGGTCAGACTCGGCGAACGGCCTTTCAGCTCCTGCCATCGGTCACCTTCAGCTGAGGGCGAGCGGCAGAAAGGCAGCGGGGAGCAACCTGTGCGGCTCCTCCTCGTCGGCCGGCAGCGGAGCACCCGGCCATGCTATTTCTAAAAGCGATGAGCTCGTGTTCTGCCACCAGACGGTCAACGGGGAAACTGAGGAAATGTTTGTGGTGGGAAGCACGCGTACCTGGGTTTCGTCCCTCACTCGCTTAGCGCTGCAGGCCCCTTGTCTTTTAAATAATGGATTATCTTGCTGTAGGCTGACATGTTTTTTATTTTAAGGTGGGAAGTACAGAATAGTTTCACGATTTTCATAATAGTTTATGAAAATCACCCAAGGCTGTGAAGATTTGCTGCTTTTCCCAGGAGTATCGCTATGGGGTGCGAGCCTCAGCAACCTGAGCTGCAACATCCTGGTGCTATTTCCCTGCTCCGCACCAAGGGAAGCTCCATCTTGAGCTTCGCCAGGAGCATTGCTGTGACTTTGCTGCCAGTCCAGAAGAGGGCTGCCAGAGGGCTGCCTGTGTAGACAGACTCGAGTCAGCCCTCTTCCTTTCACCGAGATTTAGCCAGTCCAAAGAGGCTGAACCAGTGGCCGTGCGACTGGACGGCGCTCCGACTTGGCAGAGAAGAAATGGAGCTGGCATGCCAGTAAGAGCGTTTTACTGGGAAGAGGCAAGGCAGCAAGGCTCTCGATAAACGACTGGAAAGCATCTCTTCACAAAGAGCTTTGATGGAGATGAAAGGGAGGTAGAAAAAAGTCAAACAAAACATGCGCAGGTTTATAATAAATAACCTAATTGATGTTTGGAAGTGCATTAATGAATAACGGAGAGAAATATCTGTAAAAGAAAATGAATGCTCAGAGCAGATAATTGATATGCTGTTTCTTCGCTGCATGCTGGTGTGGAGTCGTGAAAAGAATATTAAACATCATAGGAGATAAATGAGAATTTGTTATTTTAAAGCAGGGTTCCTCAGGACTTTGTATGTTTTATACGCTACAGGAAGAAACTCGGGGATCTTGTGAAGGAGTACAGGGTACCAATAGCAGAAGCAGCCTAGGTCCAGGACTACTCTGTCTTTTCTAAAACTGGAGGATGATGGGGTGTATCATCACAGCATGACCACAGGAGAGAAACAATGTGATGGGAACATGGTACTCAAATTTACTCCTTCAAAATCCACTGCAAATGAAACACTGAGGTGGCTTTTTGGGCCATCACCCACTTTTGAGATATGGGTTAATAGATTTCACTGGAGGAATTTGTCTCCAGCAGCATCCTCACCATTACTGGCACACTCACAAAATGGGTTTTGTTGAACTTGCATGTCCTTTACTGCTGGTTAGTTCTGCATCAGCACAGCCTAACGGGTGTTTTTAGGAGGACCGGGTGTCTTTGGTTTTAATTCTCATTGCGACCTTGACTTTGATGGGACCTGATTCTGTAGAAGCAAAGTTGAAAACTCTTTTTCTATCTGTTTTTTGTCCTCCGGTGAAATAGATGTGTGCGTGCACCTGAACCTACATGCACCTGGGCTTCTGCTCTGAATGCCTGTATGCAGATACATGTTTAAACACACAAGTGTACAATTCAGATTACTTTCCCACAATATTTTAAGCATTGGAGAGCTGGTGGATTTGGGCATTTTAGCTACTAAAGAGGTAACCTAAAAGCCCCAAAAGGAGAAAATATCAGGAGATAGGCAAGTGACCTATTGCGCTTCCAAATTCCCAACTAACCTGTGCCAGAGTTGCAGGCTGATTTTGCAGAGTTGCTTGAGGCAGCAACTGCTGTGGGAGAAGCTCACATGAAGGCTGAGAAGGCAAAGAAACCTGGGTTAAAAACAAAACAACAAAACTTTATTTATAAGTTTGGCTCCTTTAAATTTTAGGTTTCTTCTAATGCCGTGGCTTCTGTGTAAGTCGTTTTTAATTGCTAAGCTGCGTATGGGGCACATGCTTTATACTGTCTGCCTATTTTGATGACGCTTTGTGAAGTTACCTGAAGAGCAGTAGGTTGACTGAGTCTATGCACGGATAAATCCTGCTGCGTGCTCGGTGTTCTTGGCAAGGGAGTGTTAGACTCTGCAATCAGCTTTGTTGGTGTAGCTGCAAGAAAAGTACTGGTGAGTTCTCACACGCTGGAAATCATCCCTGTTTGAAGTGGGAATTACAACGAGACCTGGCTAGAAATGATTACGGCCTGGCTACATTCCAGCAGGAGTCAAGGCTGTTCTTGTTGGCTTCAATGGCAGTAAAACTAAACTGATAAGGAGGGCCTGGGCAAAGATAAAAGTAAATGAGACAGATTATGATTCTGTGCTCCAATGAATGGAGCAAAAGGACCCAAGAGCTGTTCTAAAACAGCTGGAACTCCCTTCATATGGGCCAAATAACTATAAATTTAGGTTAGCTCATCGGCTTTTCTTCCAGACCAGGGAGCAGAAGGAGTGTATAAGGTGTGCCCACGTCTTGGCTGGAGCATCCTGAATCTTGGCCAGAAGGGAATCACCCACAGGCTGTTATTGCTCATGTAAGTCTAGAGGGGCCTTGTATTGCTTATACTGATGCCTTCAAATCTGAAGAGAGAAGTCCTCATTTTCAGAACAGATCAAAACAGCAGGCCTCATGGCTAGTCCCACTACCCGTTTTCCAGTGTATGGATGGTTGCACTAGAACCTTCCCTCTTGTACGTTACCATTTCAGATTATGCAGCTCGTTGTCAGTGACAAAGACATATCATCAATATCTCATAAATAACTGTTAAATTAGCAGCTGTGGTATATAGGCACACATTCTGTAACTTGGCTAAA